CAGGAAAACTCAGGAGACTCAGGAGAACACAGAAGACCCAAACGAATTCGACGCGACGAAGAACAAGACAGAACAGACAGCTTTTATACAAGGACAAAACGAGACGTGATTACAAACAGCTGTGACGAGACAAGGGTGACACCAATTAAACTGAAGAGAACACACAAGGGAAACACAGACACAAACAGAGCCAGTAAATGGTACCATCCTTACAGTACCACATGAGGTGCGAATGACAATAAAGAAACTCTGACTCTGACTCTGACTCTGTACTGCAAACCCACCCACACAGACCAGTATTTGCAGTTTGACTCCCATCACCCTTTGGAGCACAAGTTAGGAGTCATCGGGACTCTGTACCACAGAGCAGACAGCATCCCCACTAGCTCAGGAGCCAGGCAGAAGGAGAAATCCCACACAAGACAGGCTCTAGAGCAATGTGGATATCCTAACTGGGCCTTCCTGAAAGCAGAGAAGAAACCCAAACAGGACTCCAGTCAGCCATCAGGTGAAAAGGAGGAACCCAGACCCAGACCAGTGGTTATTCCATATGTTGAGGGAGTATCAGAGAAACTGAGACGTTTATTTTCTAAACACAACGTCCCAGTGGCTTTTAAACCCCAAAATACATTACGGCAAAGACTGGTTCATCCCAAAGATCCAGTCCCCCGGCACAAGCAGAGTAATGTTGTGTATGCTGTTCAGTGTCAGGAGGGTGATCAGTCTTACATTGGGGAAACTAAACAGCCACTGACCAAAAGGATGGCCCAGCACAGAAGATCAACACCATCAGGCCAGGACTCTGCGGTCTACACTCATCTCCAGGCCAGCGGTCACTCTTTCAGGGATGAAGATGTTCACATCCTGGACAGAGAGGAATGATGGCTTGAGAGAGGAGTAAAGGAGGCCATCTTTGTGAAAAGAAATCGTCCATCATTAAACAGGGGTGGAGGCCTCCGGGTTCAACTGTCCCCCTCTTACAATGCTGTGATTGCTAGTATCACTCAGCCCTCTGTGAATAGTAAACAGCCATCAGTGTGCTAATGATCCATTGTTAGACTGATGGTCCTTCTTGAGCATGTGATCAGCTGGTTTTGGTTGTCAGCAGCAAAACTGGTTGATCCACTCTGAGAAGGTGCTATTTAAGAGACAGAGCTGAATACAGCACCTCAGACTGAGGAAGTCTCTCAGATGAAAGACAAAATGTTTCTACATTTATTTTGTTGTTGTTTTGCTTTGTTTTGTTTTTTGAATGTCCAGAGGACCAGATTAAACTTTTTTAGATCTTAATGAGTCATTTTAGTCACTGTTATTTTTATTTGTGTTTTCTGCAGAAATTTACCAGTGTTTCTGTGCCATTTCTATTTTGGCCGGCCCCCCACTGCTCACAGTGGGGACAGAACATATTCCACATTTGATACAGATTTGTGCAAATGGCTTTGAATCTATCTTTATAGTTGTTCTACATTTGCATTGCTTTCTCTGTGAATGTTCTCACTGTCTTGTTCATGTTCTCGAGTTTCATGCACCCCAGTGTCCATGTATATGGCATCAAGTCCTAGTCTTTCCTGAGGTCATGTAGCGTGCACAGATGTATGTGTTGAATCTCACAGTCTTGAGCTACAGTTCTGTTGACCAGTATATAAATAGTGATTGACACAATAGATGTTTTCCAAACAGCTTATTTTACTTATGTCCAATTAGGTGCAAGCTGATTCAAATTCAAAAATACTTTATTAATCCCAAAGGGAAATTAAGTGTTGTCGTAGCTCATCATCCTGTTTTCATTCAAGAGTTGTTATAGATGCTGATAGCTGTGGGCAGGAAGGATCTCCTGTAGTGAAGCCAAAGAATTGGCCACAGATACCAATTCGTCCACCTGGATCCAGCTTGTTATCGATCCGGCGGGCCTCTCGGTCCTCCTGGGCAGCAGGACTGCCCGAATGCCGGGCAGAATTCCTCCATGAGTGATGGTCACTCCTCCCAGCAGTCTGCTGAGCTCCTTGTTGACACGGACAGACAGCTGAAGGTACCTGGGGATGATCTCAGTCCTCCCGTTGTCACAAGCCGAGTTTCCCACCAGCTCCAGGATTTTGGCGGTCAGGTTCTCGAGCACCGCCACCAGGTTTATGGGAATTCGTCCACGGCGCCTCCTTTTCAACTCATTAGAGATTTGCGGCTGTAGTTGTGGTATTTGAGTTTGTGAGATGTTAATCAGCTGCTCCTGGTTGTTATAAAAACACTTTGTTGCCATGGTTACACAACATAACAAAAATGCCCAAAAGCAAGAAGCTTTCAGTAAAAATCCTTCCAGCTGCACAGCATCTGATATCAGAGGAAATAATCATCCGAAAAAGCGATTTACATCCAGAAAATAGAGGAATTAGTTTTCAAAAGCAATAACTCAAAATGAATGTAACAGAGCTACTCCAACATGCAGCCACCCAGAGCGCTGCAGTTCTAGAACTGATGTCACTGGATGTGTGAGCCTACATGGATTAAAAACTCTTTAATGGTTTCTGGTCAGTTTTTGTTTAGTTTGCTTCAGCTGTGCAACAGTTTTAAAGTCAACACAGCACCATGGTTTAAATAAACAATTTTACTCTGTCAAATAAGCTATAAATGTTTATAAGGTGGGCAGCACGGTGGCGCAACTGGTAGAGCTGCTGCCTCTCAGCGAGCAGGTCCTTGGTTCAAACCCCGGTCCAGGGGCCTTTCTGGGTGGAGTTTGCATGTTCTCTCCGTGCATGCGTGGGTTTTCTCCGGGTACTCCGGTTTCCTCCCACAGTCCAAAAACATGCATGTTAGGCTGATTGGTAACTCTAAATTGTCCTTAGGTGTGAGTGAGAGAGTGAATGGTTGTTTGTCTCGTTTGTCTCTGTGTGGCCCTGTGATGGACTTGCGACCCGTCCAGGGTGTACCCCGCCCCTCGCACAGTGATTGCTGGACATGGGCACCAGCGACCCCCGTGACCCAAAATGGAATAAACGGGTAAAGAAAATGGATGGATGGATGGATGGATGGGTTTATAAGGTTTGCATGGATGTTGTCTGTGCTTTAGACTTTAGATTTTACATTAAAGTTAAAAGCAGCTCAGCTCTGCATCACTAGAAACCTTGACGTTAATGTGCACAGAATCAACGCAGGAGTTTGTACCAGGTCGTAGTTCTGTGAAGAACTCTGAGCCGAACGTTCAGGAACGTTGTGACAAAAATTAAGTAGTAGAGTGAAATCTAAGGGTCAGTGCTTTTCTTGAAGTTTCATCTTGTTAATTTGATCCTGGAAGAGATTGGAGTGAACTCAGCTGTAAAGGTTTGACTCATCTCTTGTGTACAGGCAACAGAAGGAGGACGAGGTGCATTACCTCTGCTTCACTAAAAGAGCATCAAATAAATAAATAACACTTATGTCTATTAAAGGCAGTCCTGAAAGCTATTATTAGCAAATAATTTTACAAACTAGTGTCAAAGTTTCACACTGATGAGTTTTGTGGCATGTAAACACACACCTTATCAGATCTCTTTATTTAGTTTTCATAAAAACGCCAAGCTCTGATCATGTTTGACCCAAACACCAGGACGAAGGCAGTCATGATGCTGGTGTGTTTTTAGACAACCTTTTATTTTCTCGTCCATTTTACCTGAAAAGATCTTGTTATGAATTACAGTTGTAGCCTCAACACACGAGTCTCTCTTAAATTCACAACCAAACCAGGCGAATGCACAGAGCTCCGTGACATGAATCTGCTGTCGCCTCTCCCCACCCAGGCCCCTGGTCCATTGCCACTACAGTGACAAACCACCAGAACCTGCTACCCCATCAGGCGTAACAAAGACCCCACTGTGCTCCTGTTATGCCCTTAAAACCATGCCAAAACTCCACAATGGCCATCCACAATATCTCTTTCACCGTAGCGGGTTCATCTACCAAGTCTCTCTTGTAAATGAGTTTCTGAGGCTCAATGGGATTAACATGTATAAATAAAAGTTGAATGAATCTTTCAGTGCAAAAGGTTTCCAAAGAGCTCTAGCATAACTACTGGTTCTATAGGGACAAATAAATGTAGACGAATTAGCTGCAAATTAACTATCGGTGTTTTCACAACCGGCATTAAACAACTTGGTGTCACGGTTTCTGAGGTTTAACTCTCGGTGGTTTTGTTTCAAACCAGGGGGAGGAGACAACAGTAAAGAACAGCGAACAGCTGCTGGCCGACCTGAGGAGAAGGAGCACCACCATCCCTCCTCTGAAGCTGCGCCGCATCACCTCCAACAGACCCGTTACAGTCGAGTCCCTGTGCGACTGGGAAACCAACAAGGTAAAAAGATTTTCCATCAAAACCTTATGAGATGAATTTCTGACTGATTTGTGTGTTTTTATCTAATAGTTTTCTGCAGGTTTAATTAAACTGTCCACTGTTCCTGTTTAGGCTTCTCTGTCAAGAGGAGAGAAATGCAGCCTGAAATCAAACTACAACAACGAGAACTGGGATGTTGTCTCCTCTGATGGAGTTACTAAAACCTTCCCAGGAGTTTGCTTCCTGATTCCACCTCCCGACTCAGATGCCATTGATAAAGTGGACCTGTGAGTAGATAAAATATCATACATCTAAACTCTACAGTGCACATATCTAGCAAAAACTGATTTCTATGCTTCCACCCTTTTAGTTTGGGGAATGAACTGGCAGACATCAAGAAGAGACGATCGGCTTTGGCAGCATCTCTGAAGAATAACAAGTCCAGACCTCAGCAGTCAGGTGGTTTTCTCTCATTTAGATCCTCATTTAAATACAGTCACTAGTTAAACAATAGTGTTGTGTTCAAGACCACCTAACTCGAGAGCAAGTCAAGACCAGAGTGTACCGAGACAAGACCAAGACTTTTAGGGTCCGACACCAAGTCGAGCCCAAGACCTCAAATAAAATAAATAAAATATAAAATGTTATTATAATTTTTTTAAATAAAAGTTACATATTGCAACTTTAAGTTTGCTTTTGAATGAATGAATCAGCTTTTATAAATTTTTAAAGCTACATAACAAAGAAATCAGACATTCAATGACCTAACTTCATGTGTTTCAACAATAAAATTACACACCTGTTAAATTGGAAGCAGAATCATCACAAGACTTACAAAACTGCAGTGACAAAACACTCTTCATACGTCCGAACTCAACACCAAGGATAACCATATAGTTGCATTAGTTACAAGTATATTCTTTGTGATTTAAATAGCCAAATTTTATAACTGATGATTTGGCAGACATCTTCTCTCACGCCCAGACAATCACTTCTCATTTTCTTGGAGTGACCAGTGTTGCCAGATAAAGTGGAGGTTTTCCAGCCCAAAAATCTGTTAAAAACCACCATATCAGACAAAAATCTGCCCAATCAATATATTGTTACAGTATATTTACTGTTTGAACATGAACACATATAAGTACAAGCCAAGGTAATTTAAAAATATGTGGCAAAATGCAACAATCCAACAAAAATCTTCCCAGAGTTCCCAGCAAAATCAGAACGAAAACCACCCGATTGTCAGTAAACCACCCAATCTGGCCACACTGGGAGTGACTCGTGCGAGTGAAAGGGGGTGGGTGTGACAGCGATAACAAAGCATGTATTTAGCAATGAGTCACGTTATCACTTGGATTTGAACCAGTATGTTGCATCCGATAAAAACAAAGATGTTAATAAATAAGCTGGACAAGATTCTGGATATTTAGTGATATATCCACAGTTGTGGTCTTGACTGATCTTGAAATAAAATCCCAAGTCCTCAATGTCCAAGACCGAGACAAGACTGAGACCATCAAAAAGTGGTCTTGAGACTGTTCTTAAGACCAAGACCGGTCTCGAGTACTACAACGCTACTAAACAAAATAATGGTTGTCAGCAGTTGCACAGCATTTAAGACTTCAGAGTATCAACTTCTCTATTTTCCTCCTCCAGTTCCAGTTTCTTCTTCCTTGGACCCTAAAGCGGGGGCCCTGGCCCAGCAGCTGGCACAGCTGGACAATGATCTGGTCAAAGCTGAGGAGAGCACGCTGAGCCGCATGCGGACTCCGCTGAGCCGCTCCGATCCGGCCGGAGATCTGGCCAAGAGGCTGCAGGAGCAAGAGGTGAGGAGAAGAAAGTGTTTCAGGTAGCAGGCAGTCCATCCGAACTATCTCAGCTGAGTGTTCCTGTCTGCTCTGTAGGTTCAAAGTTAATACAGAAAGAAACAAAACACCACCCAGCATGTGGTTTGATGTAATACTAATACTTTATTTGTATAGCACCTTTCAAACAAATGTTACAAAGTGTTTCACATTAATCAATTAAAACATCATCAAATGACACCAGAAACACAAAAGTATACCAAAATCAATTAAAATACATAACAGTATAAGAAAAAATGAACATTTAAAAAAATGAAGAAATTCAGATATTAAAAGCCTTATTATACAAGTGAGTTTTAATTAATGATTTAAAAGAAGACAATGAAGAGGCCTGTCTAATATTTAGAGGAAGAGCATTCCACAAATTAGGAGCCCCGACCATAAAAGCCCTCCCTCCTTCTGTCACCAGTCGAGCTCTGGGAGTGGAAAGTAAGAACAGATTTAAGGATCTGAGATTACAAGAAGGGATGTAGGGGGTAAGATGCTCAGATAGATATGATGGTGCAAGACCATTCAGGGATTTAAAAACAAACAATAAAAATTTGAAGTCAATTCTAGAAACCACAGGGAGCCAATGCAATGAGGACAGAACAGGAGTGATGTGCTGATATTTATCTTGTGAGAACTCTAACTGCAGTGTTTTGTACTAGTTGAAGACGATTAAGAACTTTGGGGCAGACCAGAAAATAAAGAGTTACAATAATCAAGATGGCAGGAGACAAAGGCATGAATAAGAGTTTCTGCATCAGTTAAATAGATAAATGCCCTAATTTTGGCAATGTTCATAATTTGAAAAAAATGTTGTTTTACTGATGTTCTTAAAATGTTTAGAAAATGTAAGATCAGAATCAAAGGTCATCCCCAAATTTCTGGCTTTGTGAGTGCAGCTAAAACCAAGAACAGAAAGGCAATGAACTACTAAATCCCTTTTGGCCTTGGGTCCAAACACCATCACCTCAGTTTTATCGTTGTTGAGTGAAAAAAAAATTATCAGACATCCAGGTTTTGATGTATGTAAGACAGAAGGTAAGTTTATTGAGAGTAGAGAGGTCTGATGGGTTAATAGCCAAATAAATATGTGAATCATCTGCATAAAAATGAAAAGAAACATTGAATTTATGAGTAACCTGACCAAGTGGTAGCATATAAATGGAAAATAATAGTGGCCCAAGAATAGACCCTTGGGGGACACCACAGGTGAGAGAAGCTGAACTGGAGGAATTATTGCCAGAAATTGCAGAAAAAGTTATGTCATGATGACGATAAGATCTGAACCACCTCAGAGCAATGTCTCTAACACCTAACCAATAATTTAGTCAGCTCAGTAGAATATTATGATCAACTGTATCAAACACAGCAGAAAGATCCAGGAGCACTAAGACAGTACAACAGCCAGCATCTGAGTTCATCTTAATATCAGTCACAACTTTTAATAATGTAGTTTCTGTATTGTGATATTGACGAAAGCCAGACTGAAACTTTTCACAAAGTACGTTTTGGTTTAAATAAGTTCAGATCTGAGAGGACACCACTTTCTCTAAAATTTTCACAATAAAGGGTAATTTAGAGATCGTCCTGAAGTTGTTAAGATCGTTTCAATCCAGGTTGGGTTTCTTCAATAATGGTTCAGCAGCAGCAGTAATGCATGCACTTACTGGATGACGCTAGAAAAAGTATTCAAAATGAATGTGAAAGTCTGCTGGGCAGCAATATTTCCTCTTGTCTTTGCATACCTGACTGTTGATGGATTCTCATGCTGCAGCAAGCCGCGAGGTCTCTGAAGGCTCTGGAGCAGCAGAAGCAGGCAGCCCAGGCCAACATGCAGCCTTTGCTGTCCAAAGACCCCAGCGGTACCTCCACTGGACTGCCACTCAAACTCAGCGAAACCAACAACAAGTACAACAAGCTCGCTGCACTCGCTGACCTCTACAAGAAGAAGTAAGTCTGTGTCTATTGTCACGTATTAAATGTTTTAAAACATTCTTTATAGAGTTTGAGTCACAATAAAATGATGAAATGTTTGATGAATGTGGACGGCTGCAGAAACTTGGTGGTCTTGTAATCCTGAAGTTGTGGATTCGAGCCCAGGTTGCATCAGGAAGGGCATCCTGTGAAAAAGGAAGTGTCAAATCTTCTTCTTCTGTCCCTTCATAGTTTAGAGGAGGCTGAAAACTAAACTGCTCAGGGGCCACAGTTACTGAAAACCAGCAGCACAGGGGCCACAGTTACTGAAAACCAGTAGCTCAGGGACCACAGTTACTGAAAACCAGCAGCTCAGGGGCCACAGTTACTGAAAA